TTTTTTTTGGGTTAAAATTGAAGAAAGTAATCGATTAGAGAGAGATCAAGCTCAATTGTTCATAACAACTTTTCTTCATTTTTTTTCTCTGGAATTCCAGATTTATAAATCTCTCAAGTCTAATTTGTTTCTCATCTCCATTGATTAGCAATTGTGAGTATTGTTTCTTTGTTTTAGTTAACATTGATTCAATTGGCGAATAATACATAGTTTAATTTTTTATCCCGTTTCTTTTTTGCCACTGTAATTGAGCTCAATTTGCGTGAAACCTAACTCTTTGATCTTGTTAATTGATGTCATAATCGACGAAGAAGATGTAGTTGCGAAGTCCTTCTGCCACCAAAGGATATACGAAGACTGGTCTGAGATCAATTTTACATGGGTAATACTTGTGTTTCAAAATCTCATATAATTTCGTGGTTCAACGAACGAAATCTAAACATGTTAGCAGATGAACTTAGAAAGCAACCTAAACATATTGAAAGATAGTCTCATGCTTAAAATAAAATAAATGGTCAACATAAAACACTTTACTTCCTAACTCTCTTTAAAACGGATCTGGATAAGTTTTTTTATTTTGTAGATGATTGATCGAACTCCTCATCATCAGCTAAATTAATAGTCTGTTTGTTGCTTGGAGTGGAGGTTTGAAACTCAGATGTGTGTATTCCCTCATTGTTCGACTCTTCACCGGCAGTGTTTGATTGTTGAACATTTGAGTTGCGACTCGAGTCTTTGGTGTCGCTTTGATAAGAAGTAGTGTCAATCTTTAAAATAGGTAACATTTTTAGAAATGAAAGTAAATCTAGTGAGACTAAATATGGAATGTATAAAACCTGTTCTATAGCCCTAGCTGAAATAATTGGTCCATGGGTTAGCTCAGAATCACTACAAGTCTAATTCCAGTTTGACAAAAAATAATTATTATACAAATAAAATAGTAAGTTGGTAGTTAACAATATAAGAACGGAAGATGTTCATACCAGTGTAGAACAACTTTGTTCAAACTTTTGTACAGTGTCACGATCGTCAGTTAGCTTGACCACGTTATATGCACATCCTTTGTAGATAGTTGTGTCTGTGTGTTTAACTTTGAAAACAAAGTTACGACCTTCCAAATCAAGTAGCTCTTGAGAAAAATGACCCGAGCGAGTGAACTACAACAATGTTGAAAAGAACATAGTAAGAAGAAGAATACCCAATATCTTAGTAGGAGACAAAGACAAATTCAGCTAGATGTATAGCAAAGACGTAGAAAATAAATACAGAGGCAAAGAATACTCAGCTAAGTCTCGATGAATCTAACTATACTCAGCTAAGATGTGCATTTTAATTTTTTTAATCAGATAGATCAACAGAGCAAAAGTAGATGGAGTTAAATGTGTATAGAAATAAAATGAATTTCAATGAAACTTATTATAAATTCTCATAGTAGATGTTTAAGATAATTTGTGTACCTCAAGTTGTTCATCCAGCAAGTCATTAACAGACTTTTGAATAAGTTTCTGCAAAGTATTGTCGAATAAGAGGAATGATGCAGTACCAGTATGGTCAACTACTCTAACTTGCAATTTGAACCTGAAAAAAGATATTAGATATTAATATAATGTGGGTAAGTATTGTTGGAAAGTAAATTTGAGAAGGAAAAAATAATAAATGTGTATGAATTTTGTCGCTGAGGTAGTTTTATCTCTCTTGCATTTGTCACACGAAAATGTGCCTGGTTATGTTTCCTCAGTCACATAATTGAAGTAGGGAGTAACTTTTGATGAACAAGTGACGCAACCAATATAAAACCAAGGAATATCATATTGGATTGAAGAAACCGTAGCAAGTACATTTCCCATATGTCCATATAGTTTATAGTAAGATAAGGTCATTAGGTGTAGTGAAAGTGAAACCATTATAGTTATAACATAATAAAAGCATGTCATACCTTGGCCAACTCACTAATTTGAGCAATTATTCTTTGCTTAGACAATGAGAAGGTTTCTATTGCAAGTTGGGTGGAATTTGAAGGTGTAAATTGTGGGATAAAAAAGTTGACTTCTAGGTTGGTTGATTTAGACATCCTACAGAAAAGAAAAAAAGTTGTCAGAACGACATTAAAATAGTTTGTAGAACGTATATACTAAGTTTTAATTAATGATTTATGAGTAAATATACTTTGTTTTAAATTCAGAAATCTCTTTAACTACAGGATCAATGAAGAGTTTTGTAGCAAACATTGAACTTTGAATTGAGATGTCTCCTGAAAAAGAAAAAATCATAAATGAATAACTCATTGTGTAATCGGAAAGATAAACGGTAACATACCAGATTAAAACTAACCATGAATCTTCATCATACTACCAAGTAAGATGATAAGGCCAGATGGGGAACTCTTAGCATATGAAAATATATGATCTGCAAATTGTTCCCATAGAGTGACATTGATACCCCTATGACATGAAGGAGAATGTTTGTTTAATTATAAAGGAATGTCATAATCTTGCCAAAAAAAATAAACCAAAGGAATGATCACACTTACATAAGGTCCCTTAGCTGCAGAGTTAGTATTCTTGGCGGACGACCACGATATGTCACGTTTTTAATCTCTTTCATCTCCACAATCTCACCAATAATATCTGAAATCACACAAATGAAAATCAGTTTATAACATAAAACAGTTTGCATATGGAAAAAGATGGAATACACAAATGAGAGTTAGAAGCATAACAATGAAGACATTTTCATCAAGAGTTCCAGCATTTATGTCTGAAAAATTAGGGAATTTATAAAGTTGCGGTAGGTTTGGAATATCCTCACAATCTTTCACATATGTTTTGAATAAAAAGTTGATTTTGTAAGGGTGTGAGCTCCCTCGATAACTTCCACGATTAGGCAACAATTCGAAGTTCATTATTGTACAACACTTTCCTTCTTGAAGAAACTTTTCGAATTTAGACATGAGATTGCCTTTGAGAAAAACTTGTATTCTATCCCCCTGAATACAAAAGAAAGGAAAACTATATTAAGAAGAATCCTTATAATACAATCATTTTAACTACTTTGAAAACTTAGAAACGTAATCTCCACTCTCTTTTTTCTTTTCACTTATGAAAAAAAACGTAGATTTCAGAAACTTACGACTGCATGTTTCCCCATGAATTCAAAAGAAAAATCATTTTAACTACTTTGAAAACTTAGAAAAGTAATCTCCACTTACTCTTTTCTTTTCACTTCTGAAAAAACGTAATCTGCTTTTGGATTTTAGGAGAAGCAGGGAAGAAGCCGTTTATATGTTGTTGACAACTTTTTTATACGATCTTCAAAAATGAATTGTGAAATACGAAATCTCAATTTTTAAACTGAATTGAATATGAAAATCCCAATTAATAATCATAAGGAATCATAAATTTCATCAACCCAACATGAAACCAAACCCAACACGAAATCTAAAAACCCAAAGAATCGAAATTCATAATCATAAGGAACCCTCAATTCATTAACAAAGAAGTAGGTTTGTGAATAGAAATCTGATCTTTTCATTTTTGAATAGAAATCTGACATTTTCATCAACCAGAAGTAGATTTAATCCAATAAAAGCACCAAGATTTTCTGGCTTTTGAAATCCAAACGCAGACGATGCGAACTTTGATTTTACATACTTCTGTTTCATCACAAAGATTTGATATTGATGAAAACTCAAGCATACTGCGATTTAAGTTTCAGATAAACAGAAAACTGATATTTGAGTTTGG